GCTCAGACATTAGAAAAAGGGACATACTGAATTCTTTTAATGTGTTATTAAAGTTACAACGTGAAACTGACTGCAAAATACTGATCAGTGCTTTCCCTTATGCTAAAAACTTGACCTGGGATGAAAATAAGCACATTTTTTATTTAAATGCATACTTGTTTAATCTGATTAATCGTCATAGTGATGTCATTTTGTTTTTTGACATTAATAAATTTATTAGTAAATTTAAGCTGACTTCAGATACTATGTATCTTTCAAAAAAATCTCAGACACAATTAGCTAATTTGTTAGCTTTTAATTTACAATTTGTAAATAGTTCTTTTAAAGGTGACATTAGTACTTGTACTAATTCAAATCTTTTGATAAATTGTAGTTCTACAATAAACTCCTTAGATTTAAACTGAAGCGTATGACTAAAGCTAAGCCCCATTGAGTCAATATTATTCACCAAAATATCCAGGGCTTGGCCGGCAAAGGCTTAGAGTTAGAATTATTAGCTAAAAGTCATGAAACTCATATCATGTGCATAACTGAACACTGGCTGCAACAACATGAAATGTCATTTTATTTAAACAATTTTCAACTATGCAGTGCATTTGTACGCACGATAGCTATTCATGGTGGGTCTTTAATTTTTGTAAAAGATCATGTGAAATGTAAGGAGAGAAAGGACATTGTAAGCCTTTCAGTGGAACGCCATGTTGAGCTGCCGTGTGTAGAGTTAGTAAATTTGTATATAGTATGTGTATACCGGCCCCCCTCAGGAAACTTTGGTACATTTGAATCAGTCATGGAGGACTCACTAAATAAATTAAAAAATAAATCTGTAATAGTATGTGGTGATTTTAATGTCAATCTACTTGAAAATAGCTCTTTAAGTCTTCGGCTAATTACCTTGTTTAAATGTTTTAATTTAAATTTCCAGTTTACTGAACCAACCAGAGTAACATCTCACTCAGCCACTTGTTTAGACAACTTTTTTTCTGAGTTGGATGCAATTGAAAAGTCAGTCTTTAGTGATATTACTTACGATCATCTCGGTTTAAAGACAACATACAGTTTCAATGTCAGTACTGAGCCGAATAAATGCAGTGTACACCTTTAACAAATGAGCGCGTAAATAGTTTTAAAAATAACATTAGCGATAAACTTCCTTTGATGCCTTGGACGCATGATGATCCGGATATTTTGTACAAAAATCTTTTTGATTTAATAAATAATGAATTTCAAAATACGTTCAGACCAAAAACTATTAAATGTACACAGAGGTTGCAATTCTGTGACTGGGCGACAAGTGGTATATATAAGAGTAGAACAAGGCTGTATGAGCTATATAGAATCAAAGAATATAACCGGGACCCTGAGTTTATTAACTATGTTAGAAAATATTCCAAATTGTTTAAAAGCATATGTAATACTGCAAAGTCAAATTTTATTAGGGATAAAATTAAAAATCTAATAATAAAATAAAGACCACTTGGGATGTCATTAAGCGCGAAAGTGGCAAGTGTAAGCCTCGTGAAAATAGCATGGTTCTTAAAATCAATAATAATCTAATAAAATCGAAACATGAAGTCGCAGATATTTTCAATAAATTCTTTATGAATATACCATTAGAAACTACTTCCAACTTGGACTCATCGACTGATACTGCTACAGCTCTGTTACAAAAATATGTACCTCCGTGTGGTTTATTATTTAATTTCAAGCACGTTAGTTCTTTTAAAATAATTAAAGTTTTCCATTCTTTAAAAATGAAAAATGCATCTGATTTATTGGGTATATCTGTCAAAGTCATAAATAATATTATACATTCTATAGCCCCTTACCTAGCTGATATTTTTAATTCATGTATAGATCAGGGAGAATTCCCTGATCTTATGAAATTCAGTAAAATCATACCTTTATTTAAGTCTGGAAATTGTAAAGATCCTAGCAACTATAGGCCAATATCTATATTACCAGCATTGAGTAAAATCTTTAAAAAAATAATGTTAGAACAATTGTTGACTCATTTTAACATTAATAAACTTTTACACAAAGCGCAGTACGGTTTCACTAAAAACCGTTCTACGACTGATGCTGGGGCCACTATGCTAAAATATATATTTAATGCTTGGGAAAAGTCGCAGAATGCTCTTGGGGTTTTCTGCGATTTATCTAAAGCCTTTGATTGCGTTAATCATCAAACTTTGTTACGGAAATTAAATCATTACGGCATAAAAGATTCCGCACAGAAATTAGTGCAATCATATTTAACAGAAAGGATACAAATAGTTGATATTAACGGTACAAAATCAGCCGGATCTCATGTGAAAATAGGCGTTCCTCAGGGTTCAATTTTAGGTCCATTTCTTTTTTTAATTTACATTAATGATTTACCTTTCTTTGTAGAAAATGTTTGTGAAATTGTTTTGTTTGCAGATGACACCTCGCTAATTTTTAACGTTGACAGGTGTAAAACTAATTATGACGATGTAAACAATGCACTTTCCAAGGTACTTCACTGGTTCTCTTCTAATAATCTTAAACTGAATGCGATCAAAACTAAATGTGTGAAATTTACTTTGCCGAATGTAAATCATGCTGAAATGGGGGATATAATTCTAAATGGTGAAAAACTAATTTTAGTCGATACAACCGTTTTCTTAGGCGTAACACTAGACCACAAACTTCAATGGAACCCTCACATTACAACACTAGCCGGTAAACTAAGTTCTGCTGCTTATACAATTTATAAAATAAGACGGCTTACAGATATACTTCAGCTACTTTCACAGCATTATGTCGTATGGCATTCTTTTATGGGGCACGGCCGCTGACATTGAAACAGTTTTTATTCTTCAAAAACCAGCTATAAGAGCTATTTATTGCTTGGGATCTCGTACTTGTCTTAGAGATAAATTTATAGAAATAGGTATAATGACTGTTGCCTCTCAATACATTTACAATTGTATATTGTGTGTGCGTCAGAACATAAATTTATACACGAGGCGCGATGATGTACATAATTTCAATACCAGAAATAAAGATAAACTCAAATTGCCACCATTGAGACTCCAAAAGGTTCTTGGTTCATTTGTGGGTCAAGGATATGTTACTATAATAAAATACCAAAAGAAATAATTAATTTACCTTTTAATAAGTTTAAAGTGTGTATAAAAACATGTCTCCTTAAGAAAGGTTACTATACTGTAAAAGATTTCATAAATGATAAGTCACCTTGGGCTTAACATAATAGACTGTCGTTTTACTTTGCTAATTTGGTTGAAAATTGTTTAATCGCCACCTCTAAATTTACAAATAGTACCTAGCTATACTTAACTTTTGTTAATTAATAATATTATTGTGATGGACGTTGACATCAATACATGTATTCAAATTTTGATGTCATCTTTCAATTGACGACACTGTATGAAACAAAACAGGGAGAAAAAAAATAGCCCTTGCTGAGTTTCTTGCCGGTTCTTCTCAGTACAAGGTCTCTCGCCGTAGATTTACGAACCGATGGCGTAGCGTTTGACTTTCACAAGAGTTTGTAACAGCCTAGACTGAATAAATGAGTTTGAATTTGAATTTGAACATACCCATTCGTTACTACATTCACTCATTTTTGATTTGTATAGATTCACTCTTCCTCTTTCAATTCGAATTCAAAAAAGACAACGTACGCACTTAATTTTAATAAGATCTGTATTTTACTATGAATAATATTATACAATCTGAATATCCGATTTTTATTGAGAAATCCACATATAGAAAACACTAAGCTATCGAACATCAAGTAAAGTTAGATAACGCTATTTATGTATAGTTTAGTATGTAGTAGTTTAGTTATACTGGCAGGGGTTTCAAACTCATTCTTCTCGTAGAGTCGTCATAGCTTTTTTCTATTTTGTAAATGTGGAAAAGTCACACATTTTGAAGGAGGCCAGAAAATTGATTTTGTTAAGTTGATGCCAGTTCCCCTTATTACAAAACGTTGACTAAAGTAATCCCGGTAAAAAAAACTGTCACTTTTGTTTGCTAAAGAAAATCATAGACAGCATTAGATATAAACCGTGCTTAACTTAACCTCCACGTCTTGTAACAGACAGCCTGAATTTTGAGAATCTCTGCATTACAAAAATATGCTCTCTTCTTTTGAGCTTTTGTTCATATTGTAACATTACATTGGAAGCTTCAACTATTTGTTACAGACTGGTCCGCGAAGTTATGGCCGTGAATGTGAACATGCGCGTGGGCATTCACACCGGCCGTGTGCACTGCGTAGTGCTGGGCCTGCGCAAGTGGCAGTTCGACGTGTGGTCCAACGACGTCACCCTGGCCAACTACATGGAGAGCGGTGGCGTTGCTGGGTAAGTACACACGCCCGGCAAAATTTTTGAGGAACGATCATAGACAAGGAAGCCTGCGCAGTAGTAATTTAACATACAAAAAACTCTACTGCGCAAGTTTATTTCTTTGTGGTTTTGCTCAAAAAGTTTGCAGCTAGCTATATCTACATTAATGAGGATTATTATAGTCTTCTTGCTGACGTATAAGCTTTTTTTTCTTATACAAGCTCAAACAAATTACTTTACTCCATATACTGTTAGTGGACTCGTATTCCAAAGCTAGCGATATCACTTACTTCCACTTCAGATGAATTCCTTCGCTTCGCCTCGAGTCTTTTTTTTTTGTTTCCTCCCAGGCGGGTGTGAAATCCTCATGGATACCCTACAGCCGGCTGCAAGGTTATGCCAGAGTCCTATTGACTAAAACACACCCGTAGTTCATGCTTATGGCTGGAAGGGCCTTACAAGCTTCATCTGAAGCGATTATCCCCTGAGAGGGGGATAAGCGTTTATTTTATAGCCCCACTACACTGCGTCCCTGCCTCCTTTCCTCACTACTTCCCACACTGTTCATAGAGTATGTGGCATTATCATTAGATCATCTAGTGACTTTTATATCCGGTATTTTATTATAAGTGTTTTAATGAGTTCATCTTATTTTAGGCGAGTCCATATCACCAAGGAGACGCTGCGCTGCCTGGGTGACGACTACAAGGTGGAGCCCGGGCACGGCGGCCAACGCAACGCTTACCTGAAGGATCACAATATTGAGACCTACCTCATTGTACCGGATGACACAAGCCGCGTTGTGAGTACCTTTACGTTTCAGAAAAAATTATCCGTTTCCGTGACTTTAGATAGTGTTATTTTATATGTAGGACACCCAATATAGGCTTAGTCCCCGCAGCATGAGCACCACAATATAGTCGGAGTTTATTATCACGTCAAACTCTATAGAAATTTGGCTATTGAGCGTGATAAAAACGAGCGAAGTATACTTATCGTATTTCTACTTCAAAACATACTATATAATCGTATTTCTTCTTCGTACCTATACAGTAAGATAAAGAGTAATTGTTATTTAATTATGAACTTACGTACTATGTATATTAAAAGATTGACTTATTGAACATTGATATGATATTATATAACTTAATTCGTATAACATAACATAAAAAATAAAAGTCATTTGTCGGACCTACCTATAAAAATACTTCAAAGGTATTTTGAAGAAGTTCCCATAAAATTAAAACAGAAAACATATATCTATAACAGCATAATTAAATAAAGTTTACTGCTCTAGCTAGGTTCTATTATGTACGTGTGCGCACATGTAGACTTGGTATATATTATAAAATCCCTGTTTACTGCTGACTATGACAATTAACTTTAAATTTTCGTTTTTTCTAACAGGACAAGAAACCACAGCACTCGTTCTCCATCAACGGCAACGTTTCAAAGGAGATGCGTGTCATGGGCCACGGTTCACAGCACGGAAAACATGCGTCGAAGTAAGTCATATATATATAAAAATCCTTTGATTTTCATCATATATTTCTATTCTCTATAATATATTATTATTTAACCACTAATTAGTTTTCGGTCATAAGATCTTTTGTTTACCTGGATTTGTAAAAAAAGATCGAATGAGTGAAATACTATTAGGTAAGTACCAGTTATAATTTATTTTTTTAAGCATTTAATTGCTACATATTTTAATCTAAAGAAAATTTTACTAGAAAGAATTCCACGTGCACCAGGTAGCAAACGGGATTCGAACCTGGACCCTCCGCTATCCGGGCAGATGCACTGACCATTATGCTACCGCGGCCCTAATAACAGTGTCGATTTTTTTCAAGTAAACTTATCTTTAAACATTTTCTATTCGAGAGGTAACTAAAGTTGGGATAATCATACATGTTCATCTTTCATTACATTGTTAAGTATTCTGCGGGTATTTTATTTCAAGAAGAGTCATTCATACATTGGTATAATAAGTTCACCACGATTTCACGAATATCATGCATGATTGGCCTGATTGCAATTTAACATAGTGAATGAGTTGACATTAGAAGCTGCCTCAGACTAAAAATATGACCTGCCTTATAACTGGGTAACCAGAAACCTTACCAAATTGTTAAATTTTCAAACACGATTTAAAATTAATCGAGGATAAATAAAAAATAATTATGTTATTACGTAAAATAAGCTTTCAAATAATATACGAGTAGGTAGGTATGTTCCATCCCTGCCGGACACTGAATATCACTCTTGAACCGTCTCCTTTACTTTTTAAATTAAATATCGTTAAATGTCATATAATAAAAAAAAAGTTTATGAAATTGAAAATAATTTTCATTTTCTTCTTTTAAATGTTAAATACTTGTAAAGGTATTCGTTTGACATTGTGGGTTACCTACAATGCGAAGTGATGGCGCTGCCTTGCAGACTAAGAAATACTAGAAAAAATTCGACATGGTCATTGGGTACCGTACAGGTACAGATGTTAAATTTTTATTTTCTAATAACCCTATTTTCTATTGGTAATCGATGCGTGCAAGTGCCATGCTGGCATTTCACTTGGCTATTTGTATTTGCTTTATGTAAACTTGTCAACAGTCTTTTCTTTTTACTCCTTTTAGAGAATAAAGGCAGCCTGGTGTCAAAATTACAAAAAGCTATAATACGAATAGCCATGTGAAGTGCCGGCATCAAACAAGTGGTTAAATGCTGATGTAAATTAACAACTCAGATTGTGAATGCCTGAAAAGTTTGTATTTGTGTTTTAAATTAATTAAAAGGGAAATAAAACATACAGAGAAGAAAAATTCAAAAAATTCAAAATTCAATATCGTTTATTCAGTCTAGGCTGTTACAAGCACTTGTGAATGTCGAAAAGGTACGCCATCGGTTCGCAAATCTACGGCGGGAGACCTTGTACTGATAAGAACCGGCAAGAAACTCAGCAAGGGCTGCTTTTTTCTCCCTGTTTTATTTCATACAGTGTCGTCCAATTGAAAGTTGACATCAAACTTGCAAACATGTGTTGAGGTCAACTTCCATCACATAATGTCAAATATGTAACAATAGACAATCAACAAAGAAGGATGCCCATTTGTGACCTGTCAAATCTGTAAAAAAAATTTGTATGTATAATTATGTGACATACCTCAAAAAAAAAGGTAATTATTCGCTTATTACGAAATCAAAATATCAACAAAAACTACAATCCAGTTTTTTCAAAAATAATTTTTGAAAATAACCATTATGTAGGTACATTTTTTGCTATCACACGAACGCATCCATTAGGGAAGAGTATTGTATCAAAGTAAAATGACATAATTATGAACGCAGCTTAAATGTAGATTCGCACTCTCCTTTCCAATGTTGCCAGCCATGCGGTAAATACCGTATTTAAATGGTAATGTAATACTTAAAAGGCATGGCTTTAATTTAAAGTTTCTTTCCGTTCTTAACAAAGACTGGCCATTTTCTTAGTGAAACATGACCGAAATAGTTAGGACTCCATCATCTCTTCGGCTGACTACATGAGAAGGAAATTCGTTCCGAAAAAATGTCAGCAATAATGACAGCTGCTCATAGTACCAATCATCTCAATTAATGGAAGGTATTGTAATTTTATTTTAGATTATTACCTACTTATATACTTGTCTACCAGAGATTTAAATAATACATAGTTAAATGTCTTAGATGTCTATAGATATAATTAGGTAAAGGTTAAGATTATCATTTATTCAGTCGCTTGCAGAACCTAAGACATTAAGTACCTACTATTTCAATAAAATAATTGAAACTGAATTATTGATTAAATATAAAAAAAAAACTTGTTTAATTCCAAAGACAATATTATAAGGATGACACCTCAGCATGATACATGTTATGATATTAATCCTTTTTTCTTCAATCCTCAGATCAAGCTTCAATCAAACAAAACAAGCGAATTGAAATAAATACCTAGCTGGGCTAAGACACCACAGCTGTGACAGCACACAAATGAATAATCTTATGCTGGCACTTCACTTGGCTATTCATGTAAACTTGACTTCAGTCTGTCCTTTTCTTTCCTTAAAACATGATAAGGACAGACTGTTGTCAAGTTTACAAATAGCCAAGTGAAGTTCCGGCATTAGATAATCTATAATCAATCTCGTAACCACAGAGTAAGTAAATGACATCTTCAGCAGTTGAATAACCTCAGAATTAGTTTTCGTTATAACTTCTATTCCTCATTGCCAAATCAAACCAAATTAGCAACATTATTTCAGAAGATTGTAATAATTAGTTAACAACCTCAACAGTCAATATACATCCATAAAGAAAAAACCGAAGTGACAGGTTTTCGAATGTATGGGCAGTGGGCATTGTTCTTTACTAACAATAAGTGCAAAGATAAGTCCCAAAATAGCAAGCCACAATTTTCAAAACAAAATGAACAAGTTTATGAAAGGGAGTAAGTGCAAGGTTCTTTTCAAAACTCTTTCTAAGGCTGGGAGCCTTACTTTTAATATAACTTTTGAAAAATTATCTACAGGTAAAATTACAACCAGGCCGTTTTATCATTCAAATATTGATTGACTGAATAATATCCTTTCTTAAGTAAACAATTCTTAATGTGTATTTTAAATTTATGAGGAGGCAAATCAAGGATATCAATAGGAATCTTATTATAGAAATGTATACCTTGACCCATAAATGATTTATGAACCTTCTGTAACCTGTAATTTGGTATCTTGAGTTTATTTTTATTCCTTGTATTAAAAGAATGTATATCACTGTGTTTGAGATAATATTTAATATTGCTTCGAATATTAAACCAGTGCAATACTTGTGAGAGAGCATTATTTACATCGTCAAAGTTATTCTTGTATCGGTCAACCTTAAATAATAAAGAATTATCATCAGCAAACAATACTATGTCACACAATTTCCCACAAAAAAATAAAATAAGTCATGGAATCGAAATCAAATTTATACCCCCTTCTTGAGTACATAATCACACGGAGGAGTGTGTGATGTTTGCATATTTTAGTTTTATTTGACGAAAGAGCAGAGTGCTAATTATTTTTAATATCAACAAAATTTAGCACTGAGCACTTATGTTATAATATATTTGTAATATTTGGCCTCTCTCCCGGTTTCATTTCGGAGATCTAGGTACCCGCCATATTTCCCATATTGCCCTTCCGCTTTTCTGTCTTCTGCATACGGTACAGCCGAACTCTTTAATAAAATATTATGCCCTTCTTTTGGCGTAGTGGAGTTGACTTACCTTGCAGAGGCCAGAAGCGCATGGTCTAGGGTATGCCCGGGAGTAGATCCACCATCCCCTTTATCGTCTCAGAGGCAGTGGGACGAGCCCCTCTGTTTGCGTATTCAGAGTGATCTCTTAGCATCCTCTGAAAGCGCTACTGAGCGTGCTCGCCTTCTAGCCGTATTTCAGGCAGAGTCTGGTTACTGCAAGCTTTACCTTTAGCCAATATCGGGCTATGCTTGACAACAGCACAACAGCACTCTGTCTCTTGCGATATCGCTTAGACTTGGCGTCAAGACTAATCATCCCCATCGATGCCGTTGTGGTTCTCGCGTCGGTGAGCTGGGACACCATGGCCTCTCATGCCAAATGAGCGCTGGCCGAGGCTCCCGCCACGCCTGCATCAATGACGTCATCCGCAGGACTCTTGTCGCTGTCAACGTACCAGCGGTCTTTGAGCCTAATGGCATCTTCCGCGACGATGGCAAGAGACCTGATGGGATGACGCTCATTCCTTGGAAGCAGGGTCGTCCTCTTGTATGGGACGCAACCTGCGTGGATACGCTTGCTCCGTGCTATACAGGTAGTACCTCCCTAGCTGCAGGCGCAGCGGCGGCCTCTGTCGAGTGGTTCAAGCGGCGCAAATATTCAGCTCTCATTGAGAACTACATATTTGTGCCGTTTGGTGTTGAGACTATGGGCCCATGGGGTCCAAGCGCTCGTGCCCTTTTTAAGGAATTGTCAAAGAGGCTCACCGAAGTGACTGGTGATCAAAAGGCTGGCAGCTATCTTGGTCAACAGATCAGCCTTGCCATCCAACGCGGCAATGCTGCCAGCCTATTGGGCACCATTCCGAGATGGCGGCGCTGGGGGTGATATGTTTTTTATTTTGTAAATTATTTATTTATGTAGGTAAGTAGGTTAAGCTATATAGTTTTTAAGTTTGTGTTATTTTACTGTATTATCTTCGTATAAATAAATATAATGTAATTAACAATATTGATATTCAAAGAGAACTAGATTAAATCCAGATATAACATGAAACAGAAATTTTATATGCCATCCGTGAAGTTTAATTTTCTACAAGGTACAAACAAACTATGAGGTATCTATGCAAACTTGCCTGTACCTCATAAAATATTAATATTGCTTTAACTGTCTGGGTAGTTATAATATAAACAAAATGGGTCTTCCGTGTATCGCAGAAGTTTTATTGTCATTAATATTATAATGCATTCCAGCGGATGGCATCAACTTCATTTCGCAGAAAATCACTTTCGCAGTGGTCGGTCATTGGATGAGTGACCAAAAAGCTTCTATCTCGAGTACCTCTGTGCTTCGGAAGGCACGTTAAGCCGTTGGTCCCGGCTACATCTGCAGTCGTTAGCATCCGCCAATCCGCACTGGGCCCGTGTGGTGGGTCATGGCCCAATCTCCCTATTCCATTAATAAGGAAGGCCTGTGCCCCAGAAGTGGGGACATTAATAGGCTGATGATGATGATGACAGTTGGTATTTCAAACTTTTTAAATGTGCTCCGAAGTTAACTCGATGCCATTAATAACTGACGACGGGAGAGAGTTGCCCAAAACTTTGTTTTGAAACAACGTGCTTAAAGCTATTTTATAGGTATCTTGTTAAAAATTATTCAGTCCAAGTACTAAGATACCAGCCGTTTGACAAACCTATGCAGTACTTTTTTTTTACACGTAGCTATAACAGTAATAAAATTAGAGAAATTTAATTCAACTATAACCACTGAGAGTAGAGAACTGAAAATAACACAGTTTCTTTATTTAAAAACACCAAAAAATTAAAGTTTGATTTATTCTATTACAATTTTATTTTATTATATGACGTTTTACCATAATTAATTTAAAACGAAAAGGAGCCTATTCAAATGTGGTAGTTGGTGGCAGCGATAAAACATATATCATAAATGATATATGTTTTGTGTTTAACTTATAAATAAGTTTATTTTACGTAAAATGAACAGATAATATTATTCTTTTATTTAGCTCCGATTAATTTTAAATCGTGTTTGAAAATTGAATAACTTCGTAAGGGTTCTGGCAACCCAGTGATAAGGCAGGTCATATTTTTAGTCTGAGGCAGCTTTTAATGTCAAAACCATCACTATGGTAAATGTCAATCAGTTCAATCATGCATGTTATTAGTGAAATTGTTGTGAACTTATTCCTTGAAATAAAATACCCAGAGAATACCTAATAATGTAATGAAAGTTGAACAGATTGATTATCCCTGCTTTAGTTTCCTATTGAATAGAATGAGTTTACCAAAATTTAGTATTAAACATCTAGAAATTAAAGGCTTAAAAAATAAAAATATGACTACTGTCCATCCTGTTATCATCTTTTTGACAGATCGACGCCCAAGAAATTTCGTATTGTTACGTTAAAATGTCATACAATGTCGTGTAGCGACAAAATAAAACTAGGTAGAAACAAAAAAAAATAAAGGAAAAATCAAAAGAACAGTATAGGAAATCATATATTTACAAGACAAAATATTTACAGATTAACAATTAAAAAAAAAAGGTAAGGTGTGTGTGTTATGTGTGGGGTGTGAAGTGGAAGTGGTGAAGTGGGCGTGGGTCGTCGGCGATCTTCAGGGGCGGCTTGAACGGTAGGTCGTGCTGCAGGCAGATGGACGGCGCTCCTTGGAGGCAGAAGCGCTCCTGTGCAGCCGTCTCAGTTCTTGGCCTGCCCTGGTGGTGGCTGGCGGCGCTGCTGGTAGATTGACCGGATTATATCGGCCAGTGGCAGGAGTTGATGGAACGGCAGATGTCGGTAGAAGGCGGGCTGAAGCAGTTGGAGGCTGGCCGAAGAAGCTGGAGTCCAGGTGGCAGTCCCACCGATGAGGTTGCGAGTACGTGAAGATGACGAGAAGTGTAGTAGAGTAGTAGAGTTAAGTAGTTTTTTTAGAGAGCCAAAGGGTGCTGAAAAGCTTTGAGGTCTTTCTTGAGTCCCGGGGCAGTCGGCCCAGGGACAAGGCCTTTTATTAATTTAGAGCTCGGTAGCGAGCTATCAAAAGTTGAGTAGGCAACTTTTGCCGTAGAAATGAATAAATGATCAGGGAGGCTCGGACTTTTATAGGTCCGGAACCGTTTAAATTTAGACACGGTTCGAATCGAACTAAAAAGAATCAAAGTAGGTGGTCTGTGGAGGTTGAATAGTCATAGACGTAGTCATGGGTAGCCATGACAACGGATAAAAAACATTAAGTTGTCATAAATTTCAATAAAATAAATAAACTAAAAATAGATAAAATCGCAACAAAATTAATGAAAACAAATAAATAACAGAATAAAGAGAAATGCCGGTAAGTGTCCTGCACTCTGGAATAGTGATTTTCAGTACAGATGGAATTATTATACGTATTTACAAAATGATGAATAGTGTGTGATATTTTTGAAATTATGTGTTTCCAGGAATAAATAATAAAATATATGATGATGCCTGATGAATATCGATGATGTTATATGATAAAATGTGCGAAATGGAACCTATGATAGTCGAAACCATGGGACGATTATTAAGGTACGTTACAACAAATAATATTGTACTTCCTGGACGGGTACCGCCCACTTAGTGATGTGCCACACACAATGATTACTAAGATTATGCCACAGATTAAAAATAATCGGTAGAAATAAATGATTACAGAGTGAGTAGTTACGGATGCACGGTTTGCTCAATACAAAGTAACAAATCAACACTATATGACTTGTGAAAATAATTAAATATTTCACGAGAGAAAAATACGTAGGCAAATTTTCCAAATGATTTTTATTGACAGAGAAAAAAGAACAAAATTATTTTACAATAAAAGGTCACTTTAAACGCGTAATAAAAAAATATAAAAAGGAGGTTGATAGTCCCTAAAAGACTACTCAACTTAACGTTTGATAAAATGATCAAAAAGAAGAATTACGTTGCAACTGTCGCAAGATCAGTGAACAAGTGACTTCAAAATGGTACAATACACCACCACAACATGGTGTTGCCAACACTCAAAATATTTAAACGTAAGAAGTTGAAAGATATAGTTTTTTATAAACCTTTTTTTAAATGACATTATTTATTATAATCAATAAATCTAATTGTACAGAGTATTAGGATAAACAAACATATAAAAAGTATACTGCTTTTTTTGTTATATATTTAAACATATTATAGATAAATCACACCCAAACACAGAACAAATAGGTACTCGTGCTCATCACACAAATATTTGTACTAGGTAAAATAATAAATCTAATGAAATTTTGTAATAACTTATTAAACACCAGTATTTTTGATAACTATAATGTAAATGTAGTATCGAAATGATACTTATAATCGACTAAACAATGTTCTAGCATAAAATCGATTACAGCTTTAAAACGAATGAGTAATGTGATAGGGTGACACTATTTTTACCTCGATCGATCTGTCAAAAAGATAAAAATATAATGGACAGACATTTGATACTTTGTCCACAAAAAAATTATAAACTTGCCATTAATGCTAATCAATAATAATTAATAGACAACACAAATTGCAGGTTCTTGTCAAACGTTTGACAGTAATTTGCACTACATGTCATAAAAATTTGGAGCATGCCGGAGACTGACTACCACCGTCCATGCAATTTTGAACTGTGTTTTTACACCTATTGCTTAATATTTTTTCTATTATCCTTCTTCGGATAAAGCAGGTACTCTACTCCTCAATTCCGCAGAGAGTAACTTTTCTCACTCCATTTTCCTTATTTAGTTCAGATTTAAATTTAATGTTAGATTTAAAATGCGATACTGTATTAAATATGGAACGAGAGATCGCTACGAGCACGTATCACTCATAGTTTTGAGACAAGTAGCCTGTCTCGCTAAATTACTCGTACTAGACACATATGTTTGAATTAGTTGAAATCTCTTAAGAGATACGTGACTAGCACGACGCGGTCCTTACAAGCACAAATTAATCAAAATTTCCTTAGGTTTACACCTAAGGTTGAAATATGGTGCTTACACTTCAAAACCATATGCCAACACATTAAGATGCTTAATCTTTTCATTCTATCTTAATTTGTCTGCTTTATCCAAAATGAAATATCTAATCTGGACATATCATTCATCCTTCATAATTGATCACAACTCTCCGCTTGGAAAGAACAAGGCAAGAGATTCAATACACAAGCCGATTTTAATTTATTTTTGTACAAGAAATAGGAATAGAAAATTTCCGAAATTTCTAAGGAGCTTTGCGCACAAAGGATGGTCCTTGAGTAAGCATCCGTTTTAAGTATTCGAATAACTCTTTAGACATGCCTTCTTTGAATGCCAATTTTATGAGCAAAAGCTCCTTTGCATTTAACGGTTTCAGTGCGATTTGATTTTACTTAGAATTCCTTCATAAAACCTTTCGTATCTCTAGAAACTATGCTAAATTATGCCTACCAAACAAATATAATTATTTTAATATATTTGTTTGGTAGGCATAATTTATTCTATTAATAAAAACAAAAAAGATTTTATTTTGTTTTAAAATAATTAGCGTACGACCATTCTCCCAACCGTAAATTCTATAGCTGCGGGACCGTCCAAAACTGCGGACTCGTGAGTTTTGTAATGAAACAGCTCCCGCCGGCGCCATGCCGCATCGGGTGCATGTAACATCTCCGTATAAAGCCTGACTTCAAAATTATACAGGATGCAACTTTGAGGTTCTTCATACTTTTCTTCAACAGGATTGACCCAGCCAGCGAGAACAAGAAGCCAGAAGATGAGGTGAATGAATACCTGATGAAAGCTATCGACGCTCGGTCGATCGACCGCCTGCGCACCGAACACTGCCGGCCGTTCACGCTCACTTTCCGCGACCCGAAGATGGAGCAAAAGGTTAGTTCTAAATGGTGGTGATAAAAATAACATTATCATGATAAAATTGTGTGAAATTCAAAAAAATCAATAAAATTATAGTTTGTTTAGTCTAGGCTGTAACAAGCACTTGTGAATGTCGAAAAGCTACGCCATCGGTTCGCAAATCTACGGTGGGAGACCCTGTACTGTGAAGAACCGCCAAGAAACTCAGTAAGGGCTGTTTTTTTTACTCCCTGTATTATATACAGAGTCGTCAAATTGAAAAATAACTTATAAAGTCACTTTCCATTACAAATGTGTAATTAGATACTACTAGGTATACGATACTAGATGTTATTTTTAAAAGTTAGTGTTTCGGTTTCCATAATAATCTGCCTTCGCTGGCTAATAGGTAATATCAAATTTAAAATAATCATCAAAATCACAGAACCATTTTCTGTGTTCTCTGTGACCATAACTATAACATATCATCATATGTCTTGTCAAATTGCCACTGAAGTCGAACTACAGGTTACACTAAAGTTCGGAATTGTGAGTTTTAAATGTTTTCCCACTAAATATCTTCTAATATCTAAACACTTGCTAATTGTTAACAAACTATTCATAACAAACAAAAAAAAACAAAATACAGTTCAAAAGTTTAAAAAGGCCTTTAAGGGTCATCGTCAGACTAGATCCAGTGAAACCACTACACGAAACGTTGATGATCGGTACACACGACAACGATTTATCGTAACGATTTCATTGCGCAGTCCGTTTGTAAAGTTTTGTCGAACGTGTGTGCAAAATTGCGCTGATTTTTTGGTTGGTGCAAACGATCGGATGTAGTTACAAAATCCATTCTATTATTATCGTTGTCGATCGCGTTTGCACAGTTTTGTCGCAGTGTGTGAATGGAAGTCGCAGCAATCATTTAGTTTGTTCAAAGTCAGGAGGTGTAAGTAAGTCCCTTTATTTATCCTTAATTACTCATGCCAATCTTTTAGGGCAAATTTTAACTTATTAATAAATGCCTATGATAGTATGACTTTCCTTTCAAAAGCCAGTTCTAGTAGCACTCCCTCGTGATTTTCTTCTCTATCGCACAAAATAAGCGGCTTTGCGCGTATACAATTTCCATAGGATTTCTATCGGAGTTTATAAACGTTTTTCTTAATGTCAAGGAATCAAAAAAAGAACTGTTACATGTTAGAATTTTTATAATATTAGCATTTTTTACAGATCGGTCAATAGTACAGTTATTGTTTTTATCTCAGTTTGTCTATGCTAAATCACGCCACATCACCTTACCTCCCCACTATCTTATGACGTGAAGGGGGGACGGACTAGCGAGTGGAGCACTCATAAGTCGAGAGCCTTCGTCGTGAATAGTGGTCCAAAATTTAACGTGGTGTTGCTGCTAAATATTCTTGTTATAATAATTTTAGTTTATATTACAATTGAATAAAGCAAGTGGAAAATTAACATTGTGTTTTAACTTCTGGAACTAATCTAATAGTTTCAGAAGCGGGATCGACTGAGAATATCCTGATATTCTCACTACGCCCAGAAGAAAAAACGCAAGTTATTTTTATTTATTTTTTCTCATTCATAAGTGCTAATTTCATAACTCTTGTTTTATTTGACCTAATATATTTAAAGTTTCAAGAACGTTACATTTTTTTTATTATTATTATTTTACATGATCATACACGTCCTAATAATGCTTCTGCATGTATCCTGCCAGGGCGACTCTCTGGGGTGTGTGTAGTTGATGTAAAAATTACACACCTTACTGGGGCTACTCTCTAGGGGTGTGTAAATGTAGTTATTGTTTCATTGTTTCTCTTGATTACTTCTGCATGTATCCTGCCAGGGCTACTCCCTGGGGTTACGTGTAGTTGCTGTAAAAATACACACCTTACTGGGGCTACTCTCTAGGAGTGTGTAAATGAAGTTATAATCTTATTGTTTCTCTTGAATACTTTTGCATTAAATAATAGTAACCTCCAGAGGCTATTGCCTGGGGTACGTGTAATTGTTCTCCAAATGCACACCATACTGGGACTACTCTCAAAGGATGTGTAAATGTGATTATATGTATTTTTTTTCTTCTTGAATACTTCGTGGGCTACACTGAGTTTGCATTAATGTGGCCATTGTGTAATTGAACACTGAGATATGATATAGCACTTCTCTATAAAGTATGTAATCAATGCAACTCGGTTTTGCATAAGAGTCCTTTCACATTTTTTGCAAAAAAATCGTAATTTTTGAGCGCCTCGTTTACCCCCTTAGAGAGATTTTGACTATTTCCAATAGAAGTAAACAGTAGATTTATTCTTCCTATTGTAATTTAATGTAGATTATTTGAAAATACTATTTTCTTATTTTTATACTGATCGTTCTACTGCAGCTAGTTTACGGAAAAAACGATAATATGCACAACTTCAAACGCCTCAATATCTCAAAAAAAAAATGATCAAATTAATTACTACGACATCAGAAATATGTTTTTGTTGTAACATAATGTATTAGAATTTTGATTTTCCATATCATTATGGTTTATGGTTTAAGACATTTATTTCTCAAAACAGTAGTGCAATTCTGTAAAACCCATAAACTCATCTCACTGTGTGAAACGGATCCGCTTTTGAATCTCTTTATGTTTCGCTTCATAGAATTTTTGCATTCTGTAACCAATTGTACAAGCAAGTGAAGCGAGATGTCATTTATATCCTAAGTGATTTGTAGTGTTACCATTTTAAAAGTTTTTGGTAAATCGAGATATATCGACTTAGTTATTATGAAAAAAGCACGTAAATTTATTCTTTAGATATATTTGTAGATATGAGGCTCAAGTTTAAAGTTTTAATGAATGTAAACTTAAAATAGTCTTATTTTTGAAGTTTGGTAACATGGACGAATGAGGGCTTATAGTCCAGTCAATGAAGGCTTAACTTTGCCATTTTGAGTTGATCACCTGCAACCAACGCGAAAATTCCCGCAAGGGTTCGTAGATTAATATATTAAAATTGCAGGGTGCTGCATTGACGGCAAAGGGTGAAAAAAAATGCGAAATGGTGCAAAAACGAGTTTTTCGTCAATATCTCACGACTGGCTGGAAAAATAGAAAAAGTTTGTAGCACAAAGTTGTAGAAAATTTAATTTCCTACAAAAAAGATATAAACTTATTTTCGCGTATCTCGCATAGTTTTTACACAAAATACAATTAAAGGTGCAAAATAAAAAAATAAAAAATATTGTTTATGGTTTTTTTTTCCATTTTTAAACGATCCTACGGGGCAAATTCAACAATCACCAATTACTGAAATATTTAAGGATGAGTTTTCGGCAGTCCACTGAAATGAAAATTGTCTACCGAAATGGTAAAAAAATTACCACCGAAATGATACAGCCAAGAACATCGCCTTTGTAGTAGAAGGGTTCCCTATTTTGAATTTAAATAAATGTCTTTATTCTTTGTAAATATTTTTGTTCATTATTTTTTAATAAGAATTATTAATGAAGAATTAATTAATTGTTACTCCTATTAAATATTATTACTAATTATAATTATTAATATGTACTACATTTTCAAAATAACGAACAAAGCGCGTTTAGAAAGCGAGAAGTTTATTATTAGTAAATCGTGCCCTTAGTGCCAAAACCGATTATTTGCACTTTTCCGCTACTGAACTTTTATAATACCAATCGACCCGTCTCATTAAGCTGCATCTACAGGTAAAACCCATTATGCTCTACGACGCATACTTCCTGAAATAGCTAATAAATAAACAAAATAACTGCAAATTATTTCCAAAATTCTTGATTTAAACCCTAATAAACCCATTCAAAACACTTAAATTTGTAAACGTATTAATTGTTGAAACTAAGTTTAAGATTTAAACTCATTTTTCATGTAGACACTTAGAGTAAATATCCTGTGAGATTATTCCACTAAAATAAGTTATCCCACGGTAATTAGCTTTGACTGTTTGAATTTTACCAGATATTTTAATTTTACTAGATGAAGTAAAAACTAAAAAACCTGTCGCTTTTTGAAAAAAAATATATATAGAATATTTGCGTTATATTTGAGGCAAGTAAAAGAAGATACCGAATTTTAATTTGTTTTTACTGAATAACTTTTATTTGACGCTTTATAAATTACTTCAGCTAAAATCGATTATCAGTGCTTACTCTTTTCTTCCACTGTAATTTATTAGCGTTAGTCATCGTTACTTTAAAATTTATACTTCAGCTAAAACCAGTTATCCATGTTTAACCGTCTCTTCCGTACACAGATCGTGCGCTAGCGAGTGAGTTGCTCACTTTTATTCATTCATTGTTGAATCGCGCGCTGGGCAACACTGTTATTCTTTTGTTTAATTAATCACTAATAAACATTACTGGGTGAACTATTCTGCGTATTTAGTTTAAAATGATGGCTACTAAGAAAGATGACGAAAAATATAGTTAAAAAAAAATATTTAATTTTATTATATGATAATTTAATTTTACCATTTCTTTTTCTTTCATCGTGCTCAGCGCAAAATTTACGTTTAAAACATATATTTGTAATATGTATTATCATTATCATATAATAAAATTTAAATATTTTTTTTGTCAAGATTATTATATGAAAAAAGGAAATAATAAATAAATAAATACCCGAAACATATTAATTAAATCCTAATGAAGCATGTAGGGGTAAACTCCCTGAGCAAAAAAAAATACACGGTATTCCTCAGAGCGGCAGTGCAATGTGCTGATTTATGATTTTGTATTTTTTCTTGGTTAAGTAGGTACTTCTCAACCTTGGCAAAAATAATTATTGAGTAATGGGCTCTAAATCCATAAAATAAAAAAATACGAAGTGGCATTTTATCATCACGGTGACCTGTTCTAAACCCAATTCCTCTCGTAAAATTACTACCCCTGTAGTTACTTTTATTTTTTGGATTGAAATTAACTTTTATATCAATCTAATATATATAAATTCTCGTGTCGCGGTGTTTGTGGTTAAACTCCTCTGA